AGGGAATCGGGGATAAATTTGATCACATAAAAATGTTAAAACGGTTATAAGGGAAGGGAATCGGGGATAGATTTGATAACATAAAAATGTTAAAACGGTTATAAGGGAAGGGAATCGGGGTTAGATCTGATAACACAAAAATTTTAAAACGGTTATAAGGGAAGGGAATCGGGGTTAGATCTGATAACACAAACATTTTAAAACGGTTATAAGGGAAGGGAATCGGGGTTAGATCTGATAACACAAACATTTTAAAACGGTTATAAGGGAAAACATATGAGGACAATACTGCGAGAAGATTTCCGACGACTTACATGCCGGCATGGCCAGGTGGTTAGAGGTTTTGATGTAGGAACGAACTATCATGTAGTTTATTAGAACTTACATACAACAGTATGTTACTTAACTAGGTTTTGGGGCATGGCCAGTTGGTTAGGGCGCTCGACTCGCAATCTGAGGGTCGCGGGCTCGAATCCCCGTCCTACCAAACGTACTCGCCCTTTCAGCCGTGGGACCGTTATAATGTGATGGTCAATCCCACCATTCGTTGGTAAAAGAGTAGGCCAAGAGTTGGCGGCGGATGGTGATGACTAGCTGCCTTCCCTCTAGTCTTACATTGCTAAATTAGGGACGGCTAGCGCAAATAGCCCTCGTGTAGCTTTGCGCGAAATTCAAAACAAAACAAAGAAAAAGGTCAAACATCAAACAAAAACCAACAAACGTACACTGATCGTTTGTCTCATTTTGTATTGTTTGTAGCTAAACACACAAAGCTACAAAATGGACTATCTGTGCTTTTGACCAAAACGGGTATCGAACCCCTATTTTTAGCGTTATAAGGCCGCCTACCTGTCGCTGAGCCACTAGGTGTGAACATTGGGGCACTGCTAGTTATCGTAATCCCTGTTTGTGAACATTGGGGCACCGCTAGTTACCGTAGTCCCTGTTTGTGAACATTGGGGCACCGCTAGTTATCGTAGTCCCTGTTTGTGAACATTGGGGCACCGCTAGTTACCGTAGTCCCTGTTTGTGAACATTGGGGCACCGCTAGTTATCGTAGTCCATGTTTGGAACGATCCGTATCCTCGATAATTCCGTTAGTTTTATCACAACATCTCCATACAATTCTAGTGTGTCGTTACGAATTCAACTGCGTCAACTTGCTTTAAAAACATGCATTGTCGATATAGACTGTCCAGAAAATAAAGAATCATCATCGTAGACAAGTTGAACTTTTGATGTTGGTGCGCATATCCTATTGCCCCTTGTTTAGTTAAAACCATGCTTGTATCACTTTGTTTAAACCGTTGTCACTCATATTCGTCTTTGTTGCAATTGAGTTGAGCGCCATCTATAGTGGGAATATGTAACTCGTGATTCTACTACCAGGAGGGGATGTTGATCTATTAACAAGGTTTTTTTCTTATCGGAGCGTCCCCATTAGCCCAGCGGTATGTGTTACGGAGTTGAAATGTTAAAATCCAGGGTTCGATTCTCTATGCTGGATAGCTCATTCTGTAACTTTGCTTTGAAAAACATTAACAGTAACTTTTCTCTAATTAATTTACTCATTTCCGGATATGAGAAAAAAAAATGTCATTTCCTTCTGAACAACTCTCGTGAATTAAGACGTATGAAAGTATAACAGTTTACTAACTTAGCATTGTACATCGATAAGGAGAGTAACTATGAATACATTTACCCATTAGACTAAATAAATCTCACTTGTTCGCTTTAAATTGCTATTTAAAGTACATTATTACTTCAAAATAGTTGTAGCAAAAGTAGTTTTTAAATATTTTAGTTAGATTCCAAGAAGACTTTTAAAAGTTTTATTCCAACTTATATAAATAAATTCCTTATTCGAACTAAAGTCTAGGTAAATATTATCCACCATCTATTCTACGGCGAACCCTTTCCAGAAAACTCTATCTATTCTAGGTGTATATACTGCTATACAAACTTTAAGCAAAGCAAAGTAAACTAACCAGTGGTTAGTTTTTTTCCATGCTTTAGAAATAATACACATTGAAACCGTGCATATCCAATCTACTGGTTTTATATGTAGTATTTTTATTTTTCCTTTCCTTCTAAATTCTAGACTAGTTTTCGGAATAACCAATAACACGTTAGGATTGGGAGACTTGCATGGGGCTTGCGCCAAGCTCGACTGAAAGCTCCAACATCGATTCTGTGCTTGTACGCGGCAGGTAGTTCAAAACCTACCTGTGAACAAAAGTGCTTAGCTAGGTGGGTACCAGCGGAGACAGACTAGAATGTCGTCAGAGTCAGACCACCGAAGTCAAACGACAGAACAATTTATCAAAGAAGCACCGGAGATGTTAGAAAAGAAGAGGCACGGGGAAGATGTGGATGAAGAACGTTCAAATTGCAAAGAAAAAGTGACAGATGAGACAGAGTCAGATCGTGAGCCGATAAATGCAAATGGCAACACGAGAAATGAAGAACAGAGAATTCCAACGATTGAGTCAAATATTGATAAAGGAATCGTCAACCAGGCACATATTGCAAATAATTATAACCCAGTTAAAATATCCGATGAACACTTTAAAGCAATGGTTGATTACTACGGCGGAAAACCCTTTATCAAATATGAAATATCCGTACGGGAAAAACACGGCGTGTTCCGTAAAGCAGTGCCCTTGATGCCTGTATCCTTATCTCTCTTACTGTGCATACTGAACGTCCTAACTCCTGGTATTGGTAAGTACATTAAACAATCCTAACTCCGGGTATTGGTAAGTACATTAAACAATTCTTCAAACTTACTTGGTTTGTTTGTTGTAATTAAGCACAAAGCCATACAATTGGCTATCTGTGCTCTGCCCACCACGGGTATCGAAACCCGGATTCTAGCGTTGTAAGTCCGCAGACATACCGCTGTGCCACTGGTGGGCTAAGCACATAGCTACACAATGGGTTATCTGTGCTCTGTCCACCCACAGGTATCGAGACCCTATTTCTAGCGTTGCAAGTCCGCAGACATACCGCTGTGCCACTGGGGAGATCAAACTTACTTGATCACAATAAGGGTCAATGTCGTAATTTTTAGGGCACAAGTTTAAGGTATTATAAATTGATAACTTACGAGTGAATTGTTTTAAACTTTTCAGATTACGCTGACATTGTATTGTTTTTACATAGAAATGTAGGGAATTTCATATTCATTTATTTATACCTTCCTCAATTACTGCACGATTAGATTTTGTTGACGTCACTGTTTTATGCTCGGTTCCGTGTTCGCGGCCTTAGAGGATTGCTACAATTTTTTATATCAGATAGTGCTTTTTATGTTTATACGGCGTCTCTAAAACTAAACACAACAAAAAATAAACAAGTTTTCAAAACATAGCTCTGCTCTTAAATAGGTTAATGTTGAATTTAAAGGCGTTTTTAAACCTAACGGAGCCCCCCAGTAGCACAGCGGTATTGTAAACAATTATTTCACTGAAAATAAATGGTTTTGGTGGAATAACTCGGCTACCATTGTTTCATCCTATTTCTAAAACACAATAATCCAGATGTTATCCGGTGTTTCTATACTGAGAACAAACAATATCTGTACAATATACCGATATCGTAGATAAATTAGTTCTAAACTCCACCGTTAGGTTTTGTTTGTTTGAATTTATGCACAAAGCTACACAATTGGCTATCTGTGCTCTGCCCACCACGGGTATCGAAACCCGGTTTCTAGCGTTGTAAGTCCGCGGACGTTGCCCTGATGAAGCCGCAATGGTGAAACTTTGTACTACTAACTCTAATGAAGCCGCAGTGGCGAAACTTTGTACTACTAACCCTAATGAAGCCGCAGTGGCGAAACTTTGTACTAGTAACCTTATGAAGCAGCAGTGGCGAAACATTGTATTAGTAACCCTAATGAAGCCGCAGTGGCGAAACTTTGTACTGCTAACCCTAATAAGCCGCACTGGCGAAACTTTGTATTAGTAACCCTAATGAAGCCACAGTAGCGAAACTTTGTATTAGTAACCATAATGAAGCCGCAGTGGCGAAACTTTGTACTACTAACCCTAATAAGCCGCAGTGGCGAAACTTTGTACTACTAACCCTAATAAGACGCAGTGGCGAAACTTTGTATTAGTAACCCTAATAAGCCGCACTGGCGAAACTTTGTACTATTAGCCCCGATGAAGCTGTAATGGCGAAATGTTATACTACTAACCCTGATGAAGCTGTCTATTTTTTTATTATATGGAGACTAAAGGCCGCTTTTTGTCAAACTCCTTCCCTGTTTGAACTGCAAATTCTGGTGTTAAACATTTCATACTTAAATTACAGTTACGTAAACGGGCAACATGTTGCTGTGATTTTTACAGATTATTTCAATGATCCACAAAATCCTAAACGACAAATGAGAGTTCATGTTTGAACTAACTTAAATATACAAATACGTTTCAATAGCCGCGGGCTTATAACGCAGAAATCGGGTTTAGATCCCATAGTGGGCACAGCTTACATAGCTCATCCTAAGAACAAAGAAAACAAAAAGCCCCGTTCATAAGTAGTAAGCAAGCATTCCATACTCCCAGAAATGGTTTTCCTGCAGTTCTCTAGTCCTGAACTATGTCTACCAATATACGTCTAAGTCACCTTTTGACAATAAAGTTAAAAAAAAATATTAGCCGAGAGAGAGAGAGGGGGCTTTTACTTTAACACTTTTTAACCTTTTGATCCCTTCAAAGGTGCAAGGACGCACTTGTGCAAAATTCTGACCTTTTATTTCCAACCCAGGTTTGTGTAACAACGTTTTCTATGGTTCCATTTTGATCCTCTATACTTCAACTCCATGTATATGGAATGGTTGCATTTAAGTCTATAACTGTTCATCTTGAGGAGAGATTTTGGAAATGTTTGGTTTACCGTGTTTCATTTCTTATTGTCTAATGCCTATAGCTTTGACATTGACATTTTGGGTGTATGATGAATTTTAATACAAATTCATGAAGGTCATGACCTTGAATGACCTCATTGATATTGCCACAGGGTAGATCCTCAACATCTTGTTCCTTACCACTGACAATTATTTTTCTACATCTCTCCATTTTTGACTTATTTGTCTGTCAATAAACTTTTGATTCAACCCCTTTTCAAATTATCAATAATATATGACTCCCGGCGGCTCAGCAGTAAGTCTTACAACTTAAAGTTCTAAAATACGGGTTTCGATACCTGCAGTGGGCAGAGCATAAACAGGCCATTGTGTAATTTTGTGCTTAATAACAAACTGATAAAAGACAAAAAAAAAAGGTCTATACTGGCGAATCTTCAAAATACATTTATAAAAATATTTTTTTTTAAATGTTTCAGTTAAAACTTTTCTGGATTTTTATGAATAGTGCGTGATTTCACCAGGAAATTATCATAATAACGAAATCACGAACAACGTTAAAAAAATAGTTGAGATTTCCTAGCAACGCAAGAAGTACTCGAGTTTTCATCTGAAAATAATAAATACGGATTAAAATACAATTACAATTACCCATTCATTATGTGGTTATTCATTAGTCAGCAACTAATGGAGTAAGTTTTACATGTTTGTTCTTTCAAGTAAAATCACTTTTCGTTTCTCAAAGCGTCCGAGTCATTTTAATATTTAGAGTTAAGTTTGACTGTAGATTCCGTATTTTACATTAAAGGTCAAATTTGTAATTTTTATTATATTTTAACTTGGATGTAGTCTTTCGATGGTAATTTTTAGTCCGTTCCTAACTGACTGGTTCACCAAATAAATTTATTCCTTCGACAAAAAGGCACCAGATATGGAAATTATTAAACCCTCTTTGAATAAGACGAGAGGACTTGCAAAAATAACAGAATCGTACAGGTTTAGGCCTTTCAAAAATAACAGAATCGTACAGGTTTAGGCCTTTCAAAAATAACTGAATCATACAGGTTTAGGACTTTCAAGAATAACAGAATCATACAGGTTTAGGCCTTTCAAAAATAACAGAATCGTACAGGTTTAGGCCTTTCAAGAATAACAGAATCGTACAGGTTTAGGCCTTTCAAGAATAACATAATCATACAGGTTTAAGCCTTTCAAGAATAACAGAATCATACAGGTTTAAGCCTTTCAAAAATAACAGAATCGTACAGGTTTAGGCCTTTCAAAAATAACAGAATCATACAGGTTTAGGCCTTTCAAGAATAACAGAATCATACAGGTTTAGGCCTTTCAAGAATAACAGAATCATACAGGTTTAGGCCTTTCAAGAATAACAGAATCATACAGGTTTAAGCCTTTCAAGAATAACAGAATCATTACAGAAATTCTAAACATTCAGTTAGATCATTATATAGATCCAGATCTGGATTAATTAGTTTACATGGTATTTTAACTTGATCTGTATCTTATGCAACACATGGACTAAACGCCAGGTCAGAGACCTCAGATTTCAGGCATAGCCATCCCTAATTTACAGTTGCTGACCAGAAGGAAAGTAATTTGTCAGTGGCATTCGCCGTCAGACTAGCGTGATTGACTATTACGGATATGAGGTACCTATAGGTGAAAGTGAAGAGCGTCTTCAGCGAACCTTGGACGTTCAATACGCAGCCCGATACGCCTAGGTTAATTAGTAGGGTTTTGTTTAAAATACTTGCTAGGATAATCTTAATTATAAATCATCACATCAGTTCAAAAACTTTGTTATCTTAAAACCATAAAAACATTTCTTAGACGACTAGTTTCGTTAAAATTACAAATAAGAATATATATTGTATAATAATCACAGGATATGAAATATTAAAATGATTACATTGCAATATTTCATCAACTGAATAAATTCACTGTTAACGGAATTATCGATTATAATTCCCTTAGTTGCCTCATCGGCTAGCTTAGATTTAGGCCTAGATCAATATACGATACTAAGCGCTATTGTTAAGTTTGTTTGTTTGTTGTGGATTTCGCGCAAAGCTACACGATGGCTATCTGCGCTAGCCGTCCCTAATTTAGCAGTGCAAGACTAGAGGGAAGGCAGCTAGTCATACCACCCACCGCCAACTCTTGGGCTACTCTTTTACCAACGAATAGTGGGATTGACCGTCACATTATAACGCCCCCACGGCTGAAAGGGCGAGCATGTTTGGTATGATGGGGATTCGAACCCGCGACCCGCAGATTGCCTATTGTTAAGTAGCTATTCTCTAAGTCATCGAATTAATAATTCATCTAATTTAACTAGGATATTAAATCTAGAAATTAACAGTTACTACTCAAAACCATTATTATATTTGAACAATATTACTTTCTAGTCACCAAGACCGCTTGAACTAGTGGTTAGTGTGCTCGGACTATGACTGAGGATTCATTGTTCGCATGTTGTTGCCACGAAAACATGCTTCGCACTTTTAGGCCACTTGTGAGTTATAAGAATGCCGGACAACTCCCATTGTTTGGTCAGTCAAGAGTAGCCCAAGAGTCAATGATGGTTCCTCTTGATTAGCTGCTTTCTCTCTGGTCTATCAGTCCAAAATTTGGGACGGCTGTGCACAGATATCCCTTGTGTAGCTTTGCGCAGAAATTCCGAGAACAACAAAGTATTCTTCCTCGAAAAGAAGTAGTAACAAATAAAGTTGATCGTTTTGAGATCAACGTTAATCGATAATCACCAGCAAATTTCGCTGAGTCCTGTACACAAAGTAGCTGCAGCGTGAATAATGCAATCCTAAGTAACGAA